TAATACGAAGTGTGTTTATGGTCCCTGAACAAGTAAAAGTAACTATAATCTTCTGATTAAACTTCAAAGATCAATCAGGTTGATATTTCATATTTATATGGAATCATCACACCTTATTGGTCATAATTAATTTGCAGTCGTCACGCTATAAAGTGTGACCGCTACATCAGAGCGACATTCTCTGTGTGTAACCAGTGTTTCTCTGACAGATGTCCAGCAGCACATCGCCTGCCACAGGCTAAACACGTGAGTCCTGTTCAGATGATGGTGATGCTATTTTCAGTCATGTGTTGAGTGTTATTGGGTAATGATGTGTGGGTGGGTAAATGTGTGTAAGTTTGTACAGCAGCTCTGGGGAGGTGAACATGGATGTGCTGCAGAAGATGCTGTCAGAACACAACCAGGTGAGCCATGAACGCAACGTTTGATGCGCGCAGGACTTTTTATCGTTATGTGTTTGATTCAAGACCTTTAACGTGAAATGTCTGATAATGTGATGTTTAGTGTGCATATATTGTGACTCATCTGTCATAATGTGCTTGCTTACTGCAGTACAGAGTGATTGGCTGGTACCGGCAGCGCAGGAACACAGAGCAGCACATGACATTCAGAGAGAAGCTCGTCCACGAAAAGCTAAAGAGCGCTGTGTCCAACCCTCACATGATCTTCATGCTGCTGACCTCCAGCAGAGCAATGCCAGCAGGCTCCACTCACAAGATGGAGTACTCTGCCTTCATCTCCCGCAGCAGGTGACAAGCATCACACACACACACACACACACACACACACACACACACACACACACACACACACACACACACACACACACACACACACACACACAGTGATCAGCAGTCAAAGAACCATTGCTTTTTGTTTCCTGTCTGGTTGATCAGCATAAGGAAGTCTCAGGTTCCCAGTAAACTCCACAGTAAAGTAAATCAATAATCATGTGACCTTGTTCTCTATGGGGTTCTAAATGTGCCAAAAGTATGTGTCCATATATTTGTATAGTTCATATGTTCACTGCACAAGTGAGTTAAAATGACAGTGTGTATTTTTCTGGTGATAGGGGGCAATAGATACCCAAATCATTGCAAGCAAGCAGTATTTTTGTGTTGGAGTAAGACCTTACTAACGGATGCCCATTAGGGTAAAAAAAAACTCTAGGGACTTCAAACTTTAGCAAAATAACAAGCACATCAGACTCCCTTTCATCATTGGCAACAAATGAGGTAAATGTTTAAAACAAAAATATTTAAGAATGACAAAAGTTTTGCAACCGTTTGTTACAAATCAGTAAATGCATTTTGTCCTCGTGGGCTCCTGTAGAAGGAAACATGGCATCCAATATGGCATCGCCCAGAGACTTAGACCCGCTCCCATATATTTTAGACCTGATTTTTATGGTTATGTTACAAAAGCCACCAATATTTTTCAACAACTGAGCATCATTTCATTCATCTTCAACAACATTTTGATGGATATTTCCAGAAATTAATAGTAAAAACTACACAGTCTCCTTTACAACTGAGTTGATGTTTTTATATGGCACCAGTGCTATTGTAGTCACAAATGGTCTTTTATGGCTACATTGCTGAATAACATGTCATAACATTTGACATTGTCTGCTTTATCAAATTGTTCTGTATTGCTGCACACTAGTCCCTCGCTATAACGCGGTTCTCGGCTTTACTGTTTCGTGGATTCTTTCCATCAATAAATAAAAGGCGACAATGATGATTGACATTAATGAAAATCCAAAAAAAAAATAAAAAAAAATTGCTCTGTTGGCTGGCTGTGTTATGTAACGATGTCATCTGACTCTGTTGTTACAACCTGTCCTGATGTTATGTTGTCTTTTTCGTTGTCCAGCCGTGTTGTGACCTGATGCCATCTGGCTCAGTTTACCTGGACAGAAATCCAGAGTCTAGAATCCACAGAAAGCAGAAAAAAAGCATAGTTGGCATATGTTAGACTCTTATTTTGGAAATTTTCATTATTTTGAAATAACCGGTCGTAACATGTAAATAAATTTTTAGGTCGAATGGCATCAGGTCACAACACGGCTGGACAACGGGTTACAGTGTCAGAGAAAGACATCAGTGTTTACAGGCTATAACGGCGGAGTAAGAACACAGCCAGACAACAAGTTTTTAGGACAAAGTGACAACATATCAAAATATTTTTGGCACAGTCGGAACCCCATAGATCATCTACATTTGACATTTAAGTTGATTTTGACTTTACAAACAAATTAAAACAATCTGCTCATGTCTCTTGGACCATCAGGAATTTGAAAGTGATTCCACTTGATCGTTAGTCTTAAATTTCCAGATTTTCCACACAAGAACTTTACATTTAATTATCTAAAATGTTTATATTCAGTCATTAATTACTTCTTCCTTAGTTGAAGCGTTGTAGTTATTTTCTGAAGAATCTGGGAATATTTTCACTAACAAACCTGCAGGATACAGTAGATATCTTAAAGACATGCAGCCAAAGTGATGGTTACTCCCCTCCTGTTGTACATGTAGAGAGTCAAAATTAAAGCTTTATTGTTTTGTTATCCTCTATAGAACCCCACACTTTTTCAAGCATGGGAAAAACAAGGAAATTCCACACAGAGGAATCACAGACTCCATGACCTTTTCTGCAGGGAAACTAGCCTAGTGAACTAGACCAAATTCTTGCTTTGCAAATACATTTATTTAGTCTGGCTTGCCAGGCTACAGGGAAACAGCACTGCCATGAGTTGTGTTGTTTCAAAAATAAGAATGAAGAAAAAAAATCCATCCTCAGCATCCAATCTGTAGGCTAATCTTTAGATGCTAAAGACACTAAACGTATCAGTCACTGATACTCAGGGCGATTCTCAGGTAGGGCTGTCACGGTAACCGCAAAAATGAAATATCGCAATATGAAGAAACCCACCGCGCTGCATCATGGGCCACCACGATTACTGAACTTGATTCAACTCAATGATGCATGTTGAGAAGGATGGCTGCACTGGTATCAAAACGAAACGTTACTTCGCTCATTTGGGAGCACTTTGGTTTTCAGTACTCAGCTGCTGCGCAGCCAGAGTCCTTGGCCAAGACAGAGCTGCCACCAGCGGCAAATAAATAAATGAACGCTCGGAGACCTGCTGAAGTCCCGGACAAGCACTGCTTCTGCAACCGTCCCGAAGAGAGTTTGAGCTGAGCTGGAGCTCACTCGCTACCTGCAGGAGGAATGCATCCACCCTAAAGAAAAACCCCTGACATGGTGGAGCAACAACCGGGAGAGATTCCCTTTGCTCGCCTGTCGCACGCAAGTACGTATGTGTTAGTGCAACGAGCGCACCATCCGAGAGGGTTTTCAGTGTTGCTGGAAATGTTGCCACCCCTCTCAGATCCTCTCTCAAACCGTATATGGTTAACATGCTGGTTTTCCTTGTGGGTAACAAGGATGTGACCGAGCTATAAATCACCGTCATTCGTGTGTGAAAGTGAAATGATAGTGCCCCGCGCCCGGTACATGTATTTTTTTATGCTTGATTTTAAACAACTAAACAAAATGGGGACTTGTTTCTTATTTGTTGGATGCTGCAGCCAAATTTGCATTTAAAAGTTTAACCTTCTCCTGAATTTAGTTGTTTTTAAGTTCAGTCGGACTCCGACTGTCGGAGAAACAAACGTTACTGCGATCTGTGTTGTTACTGCCCTTTGATCTGCATTCAGTAAAGTGTTATAAAAGAAGGCACGGCAATTTTTTACCTTTTTTAAATGTGTAAACATTATGTTTAGATAGTACTGCAATAAAAATAAGTGCTGCAATAATATCGCACACCGCAATATTAAGCCACCCTGAATCACCGCAGGGGGAATTCCTCAACCGCGACAGCCGTATTCTCAGGATGAAGATTTGATTCAGAATCGATTCACAATCAATACTCAGAGAGTGTAAATTCCAGGATTAACTGCTTTCTTCTGTAAGTTATGAATCTGCCAGGTGTCTGTGATGTAGTGAGCTGTGAATGTAATGTAGGAATGGGTTTTGCTCTGGAAGTCCACGCATCCATTTTTTAAAGTTATTTTCTTTCTGTGTAAGAAAATAACTAAAAATGGATTACAGACAATAACACAGTATGAACTCACAAGAGCCCACGCATTACTTCCTAAGTAACAGAAGCCTTCGACTGACGAACAGTATGAGCAGCGAATAAGTTAGGGAATGTTTGGAAAAAACTTTCTTAAGTAAAAAAAACTAGGAAATTTTGCATCGATTCAGAATCTCTATAAATAAGAATCTCGATTTGAACGTGAAATTATTTATTTTTTCCAGCACCTCTACTGACGTCCTCAGATGGATTCACACATTTTAGAAGTTTCATGATTTTTCCTCAGGATGTTAGTTAATAAACCAAGAAATAAGGAGGTTTTTGAGGAGTACTTTGTGTTTACCTGCTGATGTTTTTTTATTCTTTCTATACTAAACAAATCACAGATCTGTTCGTAATATTATGACTTTTTCTAGAATTGAAGAATGAATAGTTGTTTTTGTTCAGATGCTTCATGAACATCCCTGTGCTGGTCACTAACCTGGGTCTGCTGGAGCAGCAGGGCTACTGGAAGGTGTCGGCTCCATGCTCTGCAGAGGGTTACAACCTAACCATGAGGAAACACGGGTACTTACACACACACACACATCTAGGAGTAATGGTACATTGGATAAATGATCATAGATCCAAAATGCAAAATCATTACAATAACTACTACTAATAATAATTGTCAAACCCACTTTTAATTTGAAAATAGCTTTATTTTGAAGTTCCGCTGACATGCTGTGCTCCGCCTTCTCCTGCACTTCACCATGCATGTTACTTGAAGAAGCTAGCGGCGTTATGTTGAGCAGTGAGAAATCGTCTCTCCCCTGGGAAATGATTGTGTTCAATCAATTGTTTCATACTAGGGTCAGGCGGTTTGTATCATTTTTCCTACCGCCAATCGTCTGAAACTGACGATGGGCGATATATTCGTGCTTGCGACTCTTTGAGCAACGTCATGATGCACAGACTGGGGGGGGGGGGGGGGGGCAAGATGGCGGAGTGAGTAGACGCTTTCTGCCGAGTTCTGCACAGAAAGTTTGTGAACAGAGGTAAAACCTCAACTTTATGCTGCCAACACTAACAATTCACTAAACAAGAGAAGATACAGTAATTATAGGACAAGAATGCCGAACCAGACAGGAGCGAAAAGGGGACTGGAAAGTTCCAAGTCTAAGATAGCGCCTGAGGATGCTAATGAGAAGAGTGCTACGCCCAGCAACGTGCTAATGGATAGCTTTCATGACTACACAGCTACCGCAGTAGCACTCACGCTAGCTGAAGAAGAAATGGATGAGTTCCCACCTCTCCCTGTTTCACCTCTTAAATCGCCAGCTCCGAAGAAGGTGATGTATGAACGCAGCAGCTCTGACCCAGATGATGCAAATCAGATAATTTCTCGTCTGTTGGCACTAATAAACACCAGGTCTGATAACATTGAGAGCATGGTGAGAGAGAATACGCTCCAGATTGATGGTCTCAAAAAGACGATTGATTTTGTGTGCACGGAAATGAAAGATGTGAAGGGGAAAGTTTGCGACCTGGAAAAAAAAAGTAACTAAAGAGGAAGGTCGAGTGGACAACTGTCAACAGAGAATATCTGAATTGGAAAGATATTCCAGGACGTGGAATCTCAGACTACATGGATTCAAGGAGGCTGAGAAAGAAGATGTAAGGGGAAAGGTGATTGAGATATGCAAGTCTGTTCTGCCAAAACAAAATCATAGGCTGCCTGACGTCATCAACACCGTACACCGACTTGGAGCCAAGCGACAAGGTAGCACCAGACCTAGAGGCATCATCGTGCAGTTCACCTCCCGATTCTACAGAGATGCTGTATGGAAAGCAGCCAAAACTTCCTCCTACCTGCAGAACAATCATTTGAGGTTTGCTGAAGATCTGTCCAGGGAGGACAGAGAACGTCGTGACAAACTGTGGCCGATGATAGACAAAGCCCGTAAGGAGGGTAAGCCAGCTTATTTCGTGGGAAGTCGAGGATTCATCAGTGGATCAGAAGTTTTCCCTCCTTCATAGAGAGGCTTATTCAGTCTCCAACATGACATTTCTGCAAGCTTGTTTACATGGTGAACTTTATATTTTCACCCTCAGGTTAAAGTTTCATTTTGTGTTGAAGAGTGTGTTTGTTTATAAAAGCTATATTTAAACCATAGCAGATAGTTAAATACTATATTTTTATAAGCTTAGTTACTCAGGGTTTTTACTGTTCTATTACCTAAATTGTGCAGCACCCGGTCCCCTTATTCTATAGATCTATTCTTAGCTGTAGATGTTTAGAACCTACTTTCTCTCTCTATCTCTTTTCTAATAACTTTGTCTTTTTCATTTGTTTCTCTTAATACCAGGGGTTTAAGACAAACATGTAAACGCAAAGCTTTGTTTTTGTTTGCCAAAGAATTTAAAACTGATTTTTGCTTTTTCCAAGAGTGTCATTCCACACCTGCTTATACAAATTTTTGGAAATCGCAATGGAGTAATGACATCTGGTTGCCCCAAGGCTCTGAGCGTTCTGCTGGAGTTGCCACGCTTAAAAATAATTTTTCTGGGGATGTGTTACACTCTGACTGTGACCCCTTAGGACACTACCTCTGCTCAATAATCAGACACAATAACTGTACTTTCATTGCAGTAAATATACAGGTGCTGGCCAGTAAATTAGAATATCATCAAAAGTTTGAAAATATTTCAGTAATTCCATTCAAAACGTGAAACTTGTACATTATATTCATGCAATGCACACAGACCAATGTATTTCCAATGTTCATTACATTTAAATTTGATATTCATAAGTGACAACTAATGAAAACTCCAAATTTGGTATCTCAAAAAATTAGAATATTCTGAAAAGGCTGAATATAGAAGACACCTGCTGCCACTCTAATCAGCTGATTTACTCAAAACACCTGCAAAGGGCTTTAAAAGGTCCCTCAGTCTTGTTTTGAAGGCACCACAATCATGGGGAAGACTTCTGACTTAACAGCTGTCCAAAAGACAATCATTGACACCTTGCACAAGGAGGGCAAGACACAAAAGGTGATTGCTAAAGAAGCTGGCTGTTCGCAGAGCTCTGTGTCCAAGCACATTAACAGACAGGCGAAGGGACGGAAAAAATGTGGTAGAAAAAAGTGTACAAGCTCTAGGGATAACCGCACCCTGCAGAGAATTGTGACGACAAACCCATTCAAAAATGTGGGGGAGATCCACAAAGAGTGGACTGCAGCTGGAGTCAGCGCTTCAAGAACCACCACGAGGAGACTCATGAAAGACATGGGATTCAGGTGTCGCATTCCGTGTGTCAAGCCACTCTTGAACAAGAAACAGCGCAAGAAGCGTCTCGCCTGGGCCAAGGACAAAAAGGACTGGACTGATGCTGAGTGGTCCAAAGTTATGTTTTCTGATGAAAGCAAGTTCTGCATTTCCTTTGGAAATCAAGGACCCAGAGTCTGGAGGAAGAGCGGAGAAGCACAGAATCCACGTTGCATGAGGTCCAGTGTAAAGTTTCCACCGTCAGTGATGGTGTGGGGTGCCATGTCATCTGCCGGTGTTGGCCCACTCTGTTTCCTGAGGTCCAGGGTCAATGCAGCCGTCTACCAGGAAGTTTTAGAGCACTTCATGCTTCCTGCTGCTGACCAACTTTATGGGGATGCAGACTTCACCTTTCAACAGGACTTGGCACCTGCACACAGTGCCAAAACCACCAGCACCTGGTTCAAGGACCATGGTATCCCTGTCCTTGATTGGCCAGCAAACTCGCCTGACCTTAACCCCATAGAAAATCTATGGGGTATTGTGAAGCGGAGGATGCAATACGCTAGACCCAACAATGCAGAGGAGCTGAAGACGACTATCAGAGCAACCTGGGCTCTCATAACACCTGAGCAGTGCCACAGACTGATCGAGTCCATGCCACGCCGCATTACTGCAGTTATTGAGGCAAAAGGAGCCCCGGCTAAGTATTGAGTGCTATACATGCACATTCTTTTCATGTTCATTCTTTTCAGTTGGCCAACATTAGAGAAACAAACATTTTTTCATTGGCCTTTAGAATATTCTAATTTTCTGAGATACCAGATTTGATGTTTTCATTGGTTGTCACCTATAAATATCAAATTTAAATGTAATGAACATTGGAAATACATTGGTCTGTGTGCATTGCATGAATATAATGTACAAGTTTCACGTTTTGAATGGAATTACTGAAATATTTTCAACCTTTTGATGATATTCTAATTTACTGGCCAGCACCTGTATATGGTTACAATAATAAAACAGAAAATGATAAATTACTTGACTCCTTAGAAGAAAGAATTAATTTCTGGCTCTCCAAATACCCAAATTCAGTCCTATTAATTGGCGGAGACTTTAACATCGCTTTAGACGATACAGTTGATAGGTGGCCTCCAGGGCAGCAATCCTCATACAGTGCAAACTTAAAAATTTTTATGGGAAAATTTAATGTTGTGGATATTTGGAGAAACAAATTTCCAGATGATAGACTCTTTACTTGGAGCAATAAGTCAGGATCCAGGCAATCACGTATTGACTTCTGGCTTGTTTCTGACTGCATTGATAAAGATAATATTACCATTAATATACATGCCACCCCCTCACTGATCATAGAGCAATTCACATTAACGTCCAAATGTTTACACTAGATATATACCTCATAATTTCTCTTATTGAAGTTAAATAACTCTTTGCTAAAAGATAAAATGGTTAACATGCAGATTCATAAATTAATTGGTTATTATTGGAATAAAGCTAACAGAGAGAAATCCTTTTGTAGAAATTGGGAACTTTTTAAATTTGAGGCATGCAAATTCTTGAGAAGATACGGGAGTCACATTGCTAAATTAAGGAAAATTGAAGAACAAAACGTAATAAGCAGAATTGCCTCTTATTACCAGAAGTTTCCAGAAGAAATCTCAGAGGAAGATAAATTAAGTTTACTAGAACTTCAAAATAAATTGGACGGTTTATATCGACGCAAGGCTGAGGGTGCTTTTGTAAGATCCAGGAAGAGGTGGCTGGAGGAGGGTGAACAAAATTCTGCTTACTTTTTCAGGCTTGAAAAATACAGATAAAAAATGAACTCTATTTATCAACTAAATATTAATGGCATTGTCTCTGACAATCCTAGAGAAATTTCACATTTCTGTGCCGATTTCTATACTAAACTATACAACTCAAAATATAATGAGGTTTTCTCAACAATATTAAAAACCTAAAAATGATTGATGTGGAAGATAGAAGTTATTGTGACAGCCCCTCTGACTGTGGAGGAAGTCTGTACTTCCATTTCTGCACTTAAGGCCAATAAATCTACCGGCACAGATGGTTTGACTGCAGAGTTTTATAAATCTTTTTCTAATCTCCTGGCCCTGTTTTTACTTCAGGTTTTTACAGAAAGTAAACAGAATAACACCCTCCCTCCTACTCTTACTCAAGGTCTCATAACACTTATTCCAAAACCAAACAAAGACTTACTTTTTGGAGACCCATCTCCCTGCTCAATAATGACTATAAGATTATGGCTTTAATACTTGCTAACAGGATTAAAGAGGTCTTGGACACAATTATTGATGAGACACAATCAGGCTTTATGAGAAATAGACACATTTCTAATAACATTAGACTGGTTTTGGATTTACTTGATTACTGTGATTTGGTATCTGACAATAGCTTCATTCTCTTCCTGGATTTTTAGAAGGCTTTTGATACAATTGAACATCAATTTATTTTCCACTCTTTGGAAAAATTTGGCTTTGGCAGGTTTTTCTGTAAAGCTGTCAAAACCTTATACACAAATGGCAATAGTTCTATTAAAATGGTTAACGGCTCCACCCCGAGATTTGACCTGAAACGTGGTATTCGCCAAGGATGTCCTATTTCACCATATTTATTTTTACTTTGTACACGAATTCTTGCAACTAACATCTCAAACAGTGTTGTACAAAGAATCACCATAGCTGATAAGGAGCTCGTGATTAGCCAGTTAGCCGATGACACCACACTCTTCTTGAAAAATGCAAACCAAATCCCTCCAGCTCTTAATGTGATTAGTGACTTCTCTGAGGCCTCTGGTTTATGCCTAAATCTAAAAAAGTGTGAATTGCTAGCAATTAAAGACTGCCCTGCAAATACTGTCTGTAATATTTCTGTTAAACAGGAAGTCACATACCTGGGACTGTTAATATCCAAAGATCAAAAATCAAGATGCTCTTTAAACTTCACTCCAAGTACACAGAAAACCCTAAAAAATGTTCAACCGGTGGCTGCAGAGGGACTTGTCTTTGAAAGGTAGAGTGTTAATTACTAAAGCTGAAGGGTTATCCCGATTAACATATGCTGCTCTCTCTCTTTACATCTGGATAAGGAAATTGGTAAAGATATTGACCATATGCTCTTTAAGTTATATGGAAAACCCGTACGCATTATATTAGGAAAACTGTTGTGATGAATAAGTACAAATCAGGTGGGCTTAACGTCCTAGACTTTTCTACTTTAAATAACACTTTCAAAATTAATTGGGCTAAACATTTTCTTAAATACCTCACCTCTATCTGGAACCTTATACCATATCATATTTTCTCTCGTTTTGGTGGCTTTAATTTTATTTAAATCGTAATTACAATGTTGAGAAACTCCCTATAAAACTTTCATCCTTCCATAAGCAAGTCCTCTTAGCGTGGACCCTCATTCATAAACACAACTTCTCACCTCACAAATATCTTATCTGGAACAACAGAGATATTTTATTTAAAAATAAATCACTTTTCCTGGAAACTTGGGTCCAGAATGGGATCCTATTGGTGGCTCAACTGGTTAATAAAGAGGGACAACTACTTACTTACAACGACTTTATTGCCCTATATAATTTCTCAATCAGTGTTCAGGAATTCTCAATGGTTCTTGGTGCCATATCCTCAGCGACTTTAATGTTATACAGTGGGGCAAAAAAGTATTAAGTCAGCCACCGATTGTGCAAGTTCTCCCACTTAAAATGATGACAGAGGTAAGTAATTTACATCATAGGTACACTTCAACTGTGAGAGACAGAATGTGAAAAAAAATCCATGAATTCACATGGCAGGATTTTTAAAGAATTTATTTGTAAATCAGGGTGGAAAATAAGTATTTGGTCAATAACAAAAATTCAACTCAGTACTTTGTAACATAACCTTTGTTGGCAATAACAGAGGTCAAATGATTACTATAGGTCTTTACCAGGTTTGCACACACAGTAGCTGGTATTTTGGCCCATTCCTCCATGCAGATCTTCTCGAGAGCAGTGATGTTGGGGCTGTCGCTGAGCAACACGGACTTTCAACTCCCTCCACAGATTTTCTATGGGGTTGAGGTCTGGAGACTGGCTAAGCCACTCCAGGACTTTCAAATGCTTCTTACGGAGCCACTCCTTTGTTGCCCGGGTGGTGTGTTTGGGATCATTGTCGTGTTGGAAGACCCAGCCACGTTTCATCTTCAAAGCTCTCACTGATGGAAGGAGGTCTTGGCTCAGAATCTCACGATACATGGCCCCATTCATTCTGTCCTTAACACGGATCAGTCGTCCTGTCCCCTTAGCAGAAAAACAGCCCCAAAGCATGATGTTCCCACCCCCATGCTTCACAGTAGGTATGGTGTTCTTGGGATGCAACTCAGTAGTCTTCTTCCTCCAAACACGACGAGTTGAGTTTATACCAAAAAGTTCTACTTTGGTTTCATCTGACCACATGACATTCTCCCAATCCTCTGCTGTATCATCCATGTGCTCTCTGGTAAACTTCAAACGGGCCTGGACATGCACTGGCTTCAGCAGCGGAACACGTCTGGCACTGCAGGATTTGATTCCCTGCCGTTGTAGTGTGTTACTGATGGTGACCTTTGTTACTGTGCTCCCAGCTCTCTGCAGGTCATTCACCAGGTCCCCCCGTGGGGTTCTGGGATTCTTGCTCACCGTTCTCATGATCATTTTGACCCCACGGGATGAGATCTTGCGTGGAGCCCCAGATCGAGGGAGATTATCAGTGGTCTTGTATGTCTTCCATTTTCTGGTAATTGCTCCCACAGTTGGTTTTTTCACATCAAGCTGCTTGCCTATTGTAGATTCACTCTTCCCAGTCTGGTGCAGGTCTACAATTCTTTTCCTGGTGTCCTTCGAAAGCTCTTTGGTCTTGGCCATAGTGGAGTTTGGAGTCTGACTGTTTGAGGCTGTGGACAGGTGTCTTTAATACAGATAATGAGTTCAAACAGGTGCCATTAATACAAGTAACGAGTGGAGGACAGAAAAGCTTCTTAAAGAAGACGTTACAGGTCTGTGAGAGCCAGAGATTTTCCTTGTTTGAAGTGACCAAATACTTATTTTCCACCCTGATTTACAAATAAATTCTTTAAAAATCCTGCCATGTGAATTCATGGATTTTTTTCACATTCTGTCTTTCACAGTTGAAGTGTACCTATGATGTAAATTACTGGCCTCTGTCATCATTTTAAGTGGGAGAACTTGCACAATCGGTGGCTGACTAAATACTTTTTTGCCCCACTGTATAAAAACACTGACAGCTCAATATCTACCTCAGTCACTCTCCCTGATCCAGTTGAGTCGCCAGTAGGAAAAATCTGCTTTTCTCTAGAACTTGGTAACAGCAATAAGAGAATACGTATTTTATTCCAGGAAGATATCGTCTCTCTCCCGTATATAATATCCTATTGGAACTGATATGTTCCAGATATCAAGTGGAAGACATTCTGGATGATCCCCCAGAAATATTTGATTGTAAATAAGGTGAAAGAAGTCTCATTTAAACTTCTACATAAATGTTATCCAGCCAGTCATTACATGGTAAAATTTAAAAGGGACATAAATACTAATTGTACTTTCTGTGGGGATCATCCAGAAACTGTGACACATCTTTTTTGGTGCTGTTCTTTTACACAAAGATTCTGGAAGGAATTTAGCAGGTTTGTTACTGTCCATATTTTAAGGGAGTTTTCTTTGCAATGGGAAAATGTTTTATTCTGTTTCTTTAAGTTCCCCATGAATAATGATAAATGATTTTTTATGATAAATCTGTTAATACTTTTAGCTAAATTCTTTATTCATAAATGTAAGTTTACTAACAAAACACCATATTTCTGTCATTTTTTAAGTATGTGGAATTGTACATAAAATCAATATCAGAATCCACCAACAAAAAGGCTCTCAAAAGAATATATATATATATATATATATATATATATATATATATATATATATATATATGTATGTGTGTGTGTGTGTGTGAATTTTTGCGTGTATTCTTATAATTGTTACTTTTTTCTTTTACCCCTGGTTTTGTGTGTTCATGTTCTGTTGTTTTGTATACTTCATTTGTTTCTATGTTGTATACTCATTGTTTATTACATAAAGTTTAAAAAAAAATAAATAAAAATGATGCACAGACTGATGGGCGATCGCAGAAGAAGTCCAAATACTGATTATTTTTCATAGAAGGGAAGTTCAAATGTTTGCTGGAAGTGAAATTTAGAATTTAATTTTTGTTTAATTTTGTATTTGTTTATACATCACTAACAAACGGCTCATAGTGTTAAAAGGAAGCCTCTTCTTTGTTTCCCTGTGGTGCCCACCATTATGTGCAATAATGTAATTTCCCCACTGAGGGACAAATAAAGGTATTCTTATTCTCATTGTGGTGTTTTATTTAAACTAAATGTTATTTTCTGAACATATGCTACTGGGTTTGTTTCCTTTGAGTGTGAGTAGGAAATTAAATGAATCGCTGCTGCATTTAGACGCACTCTGAGGGGGGAGCATTTGCTGCTTGCAGCAGTCACATGATCCATTTATCCCCTTTCATTTATTAAATGATAATCATTCAATACGATTACATTTCCATTCATTTTTAATTCATATTTAGTCCAACCAAGCTGATCAGTGCCCCAGTAACATAAACAATGTAATTAAACAATTTCACTTAATTGGGAACATTTCACTTGCTGAAGCCCGATTGCACATTCCTTCTGCTCCACGTAAGCCTGAACTGGTGACCGGCAGCTTGTGCATAATCGACATCGATACATATACTGACAACACACTCGTGGCTGTTTAAATGTTCTGTTTCCTTGATTGTTACCTCCACTGTGTTCTCTTTGCATAACATGTAAAATATCTGTCATTATTAAACTTACTCACGGGCAAATAAATAAATCGCCTTTTGTACCATAACAGCTCAGCCCATCGTTGACGGTCGAATAATTTGTCCCTTCCTCCAGCCCTATTTCATATTGATCAGCAAAATCCTAAATCCAATCAAATCTGACAGATTTTGACTAAATTAGATAAATTGGCAAACATAGAATCACAGTCCACTGTATAGACAAATTATATTATGATGAAACTAGTGAATTACACCCCTAGCATCATCTCACACAGCTGACTTCCTGTTTCAGGTCCAAGTTCTTTTGTCCTAACGGACTTCTGCGGGAGGTGAACGAAGTGAATAAGATGAACGAGTCTCTGCAGGTTCAGCTGCAGGTGAGAAAGTTTAGAGGTGGTTTTTGAACTTCCTGTCTTTGCACTTTGCTCCACCGGTTATGTTTTGTGAACAGAAAACCTGCAGTGAAGTGGAGGAGAGCGAGCGAGTGGTGGAAGGTCTTCAGGCAGAAGTTTCAGCTCTCAGAAAGAGACTTGAAGACAGGCGGCACACTGCAGCAGGAAAAGCTGCTGGTAAGCTGCTGACCTACCTGCAGACATTACACTTTTCATCTCTCTCTAACCTTGTGATGTCCGACAGAATCCCAGGCTCCACCTGAACCAAAGAAAAACAAGAAGCTGCTGGAGGCAGTTAAAGTGCTGCTCGGCTCTGCCCCCATGTTCCTCACTCAGACCTTAAACCTGCAGGCCTTCCCTGTACCTGATGAAAGCATCTTTATGGAAGCACAGATGGACTTGGAGACCACCAAGGAACAGCGCCCCCTGCTGCAGGACAGTTTAACAAACTGCCAAAAGCGGCAGCAGGAGACATTGGTGGGGAGGGAGAGGAAACGCAGGAGGAGCAAGTGCTGATTCAACACTTCCCGTTTCTTCAGTATATAATACATATTTGATCACAAAATAAATGTAAATATTAAGATGAGTATTTTTTTATTATTTTAAAAATACATTTAAGAATTAAGGTTTGTAAGGCTAAAAGTTATGCCTCCAAAATAAAAGCCCTTCATTAGTGTTATTTTAAAAGTCGTTTTAAAATGTACTTTTATCAGGAGGCGTATCACACAAGATATTTTTTAAACATACCTACTTTAACAGGTAATGATAACATTTTTAATCACTGAAAATGTGCCTTGTTACTAGCTTTACGAAAATGAAGGAAATCTGCAGAAAAGACACACTATGAGCCAACAACAATGAGATACTTGGAAGTATTCAGGTTTATTACTAATATAACAAAAATGAGCTCCCACAGCTTGAGTCTTTACACAAACAGCAGACAAACTAATCCAGATGTTTGATGCCACAGATGTTAGGATCCTTCATGAACTGAGGATGTTTGTGGGTCACTGACATGAAACCTGCATGAGAAACATTTGTTAGCGGTAGCTGCAACTTTCATGAAGCTAAAAGTAAAAAGTGCATGATTTTTGGTATGAAAAAATGAATGCTAGGCATTAAATAATGACCAAAACAAGGAACAAAAATCAACTCACTAAACAAATTAGGTAAAATGTGTTTGCAATTTCAATGCATTTTACATTCGTTACCCTAAATTTAAATGAAAGAAAAGTCATTTTAAGGGTTCAGCAAAGTGCTGTTTATTTACCATTGGAAACTGTTATTTGACCTTCTATCAAGCTTATCAAACTTTGCTGGTGCTCTAAATATGAGAAAATCACACCCCATAATATTGGAATGAAATACAATGCAATGTGGTATGATTTAGGGGAGAAATGGTTGGCTGAAATAATGTTTCTGGACTTGGAGAAGTTGAGTTGGAGTTTCTGCAGACTGACAAATGTTTGAACTATAAAACAACTGAGTTCAGATTACCCCTACCCAGTGAATGAGCCTTCTTTATGGCTTTAGAGACTTCTTTCTGCTTTATTCCACATAAACCTAGAAGACAGAGACATTGTGAATCTGTAGTCTTTGATTCAGAATGAAATTACCTCTTGCTACTCACCTGTGATGTGTCGGCCGTAAATCCTGCCTGTGTGGGGCGAGACGAACTGGGACAAGAGCTGTAGAAGAGCAGGTGGGGAAACAATTACTGTGCAACAGTTTTTAAGACCACATTCAAAAATCCTTCAATGATCACAGAGGAAAAGTATGCATTGTTTAATATGCAGATGCAGGTTTGAGAAGATGCACTACTTATTCAAGTGGAAAGAAAAATTGTCCAATTAGACCACATAAGTAAGCGATGAAGACAGCGTAAAGATGATAAGGAGACAACCCACTTGAGCAAAAAAATAAACAAAAAAACGCTCTAAAACAGAACAAACAATGAGGGAAAATCATGCTCAACTGCCTAGGCCAGGGGTGTCAAACTCATTTTAGCTCAGGGGCCACATTAAGGGAAATCTAGTCCCAAGTGGGCCGGACCGGTAAATTAAAAACAACTTCAGATTGTTTTCTTTGTTTTAATACAATCAATATAAAACAAGACTGGAGCCCGAGGACAGTGTATCCAAAATAGTACAAGTACAACACCTGAAGTGTACTTGAAAATTTGAATAAATAAATAAACATTCCTTAGTGATTCAAAGAGCTTACAGATCACATGGCTACATCAGTTTGATGCAGCACTTAAAATATAATTGACTAATTTTACTTTACATCTTTTAGCTTTCACCAGCACATCAATATCAGAAATCACATCCTGAGTGGCAGCCATCTTCAGAATGTGATTCAAGTTCTTGTGTGAGCCTTGAGCGCAGCTTTGTTTTATTTATACTCATTACAGAGAAAACTTGCTCACAAAGGTAAGTCTATTTTCACTCTACATTGTAAAGTATGAAAATAAAGTTTACACAACCATCTCGCGGGCCGGATTTAACCCGCTTGCGGGCCGGATCCGGGCTGCATATTTGACACCCCTGGCCTAGGCTCTAAAAGTTAGATACAATAAAATCCATTGTTCTGCTTTCAGCAAATGTGTAGATAAAATGTAATTTGATGTGACTCACTTGGATGTTTTTAAAATCGACTGTGACGTTACAGAGGGTGCAGCCTTTTTGAGGCTCCTTATATGGATTCTCCATCTGTATGATCTATATAAAACAACAATGTTATTACATGTCTTTTAATGCAGCCAATACCAAATTATTTGACTCGCAACTACCATATGATCTTTATGCAGGTCTACCTCTGACGTAAGACTCCTGGACCCTAAGAAACGCATCAGATTAGCGTTAGCATGTTAGCGTCACAGTGCCTTGAGAAGTAAATAAATGTTTTATTACAAAGTAAGAAAGCACGCTCACACTAACGCTGCCCCCACACATGTGCTCACCTGGATTAACACTGACATAAAGAGCAGTCTTTAGACTCCGGAGCCTCCGAACACACAACATTTTGACCTGACCGTGAACAGGAAGTGCTACGGGTCCGTGACAGAAATAATTCCGCGTGACTTCCCGCTAAGATTATTCGTTCCCGTAATGTCTGTGTGTACTATTTTAATGTAAAACATTTATTTTAGTTTTGAGTTGCAGCACTTTACAAAAAATAATTCTTAGAACTATTATTTATTCTATTATATACAGTTTACGTTTGCTTGTTTTGTGTGTTGGACAAACTTAACGGCAACATGTATCATCTTCAGAAAACAAAATAATAAGCTCTACACACCCTAGTACCATCGACATATATACATGCATATACATTGTATATACATACAATGCCTAGTACATTACAGCTCGAAACGTTTAGTCAATTTTTTAACGGTTGGTTTCAGGTGGGTTAACGAAACACGGGAAGCGGAAGTAAGGGGGAGGGGCTTCTCATTCAAACGGTGACGGTGATAATTTTGAACATGGTACGCGCTGCTGATCCGTTGTTTCTGTAAATTAATAGTTTTCAGCCACACACATGTACTGTATTTTGGTTTTAGGGATATCTACGTGTCCTGGACTTTTGTGAGCCACTTGTTTCTTTAGCAAATGAAATAAGCGGGATGTCAGGGATTACTGAAAGCTAGCTACCGAGCGAACCTGTTAAGAGTCTGAGTTTTTCTTTCTTCGTGTCTGACATGTTTGTAACAGGATATTTCCTGAAACAAAACAAGGCCGGGTTGTTCAGCAGTCACTGCTGATCGTCACAACGTCCGTTTGTTACAGTCTGCGTGGTTCTACATGTTGTGGTGGAATCCAGACCCAGACAGGAATGAGTTCGGGGAGGCTCGAGGTCAAAATAAAACGAGTTTGCTCAAGAAAACGATCTCGAGAGTTTCTGAAGACTCGCTTGGCACCTGCTCAACAGAGGGAACGATGTTCCCCCATCAGAACCAGCAGCATGACTGAGCGTCGGCCTGTGGAGGTACGTTCGCAGACTGAACACCTGCAGTAGGACATCAGTCTGGCTTTAGCTGCTGAAAGGGAATATTTCACCCTGGAGTGCTAGAATAAACGGTTGTTTTCCTGTTGGAGGTTATAGTAAAAATGCTGAGATTCATGTTGTTTTCTGTATAAGTTCAAAACTCCTTTTATGGTGTTCATCCTTTTCTATTGTTTTGCTTATGTACTTCCTATACTTAATAGGGTTTAATCTACATGATAAATACCACTCTGTTTTAGAGAAGAATTTAATTCAGTTATTTTCTTTAAACGCTTGTTCAGCTGATCTTTTAACATATATAGAATCAACCGGTCAAGAACTGGGAGAAAAAAATCCCTGAAAATTACACAAATGCATAATCTAGAGAGTCGTTATGAGGTACTACAACTGCTTCTCCAAAAATCTACAGTAGAACTAGGAAATATTTGGATATAGAGGGCTTGTGTGGAAGTCGTGGTTAAAAATCTAATTTACAAGAGTACAATGGCCAGACAGGCTGCAGTTCACATACATAAAGCAGATCACACACCCCAGAAAAACAAAAAGGCATTAAGATCATCAGGAATATAAAAGGAATCATGCATCACAGTGAGGCAGTACCAGAATTCATAAATCAAAACATTGTGTTTTAAAGGTGAAGTGAACGTCTGAGAGCCCTCCTAACTGTTCCTCTCTGACGAAGACTGATCAATGAGCTGATCCTGGATGTTTAGAACACTGTAGCTCTCTGCTTGTGTTTCCTTTGCAGTTCTGCAGTGACAGTGAAGACCTATTCGGTGACTATGACAGCATCCTTGAAGGCGGCTCTCTTCTGGCAAAACTGGACGACGCGGGAAAAAATGAAAGGCAACGAGCCGCAAACCACCTGGACTCTCTCACTGACTCCATCATGGATGAGTTCAGAGAGGAACCCTTTGAGGGTTTACCAGCCAGCCAGCTGCAGTTTCAACAGCATTTCACAGAAGAGGCAAAGAGGAGCCGACAGGTGAATGAAAACCAAACCTCTACACCTCGTCAGAGTGTCACCAGGACGGCTGAGGCCAGAATAGAAACTAACAGAGGAGGTGATGGCAGAAGGAGCTGTGGAGTAAGGAGGAGCATGGCAGACCTGCTAAAGAAGACCATGCTTGAGAACGCAGCTGCAGCTCCCGTCAAAGTCTCTAGAACAGCTGAGCTAAAAGAGGCTGTGGTTTCTGAGGAGATCAGTGTTGCCTTGCAGGCCATGGAAACCATTTCTCCTGAGACAACAGACCTCGGGCCTTTCTTTGGACTCCCTAGCAAAGTGAAGGAGCTGATGCATAAACTGAGAGGAATCCAAAACCTATACGGTGAGGCTGTTTTCCATCACCACCTGCAGAGAGTTAGTGAGTCAGAATGTACCCATTGTCACCCTGAAACCCCAAGAGGTCCAAGTCATTGGAGCTTGTCTGGAATCAGCTAAAAGACCAAAATAACCGACCAAATATCAGTTTTAGTCTCTGATGTTCGGCTTTTATTCTGGTCCTTTGAAAGCTCAAAACTATAGGCTTTAGTTTTTCATGGCTGGATAAATATAGAAGAAGGAAAACGGAGTTTGGACAAACGTTTCTCTGAATCCCTCCTGGTTGCATTTGAAGATGAAAGTCAAAATAGCCAAAAGTAGCTTAAATAATTAGTGTCGTTTGTGTTGACTGGACTTAAATGTTGCATTTCTTCATCATGTCCAAATTCAGCTCCACATTAAGCCTTGAGTTTAGGACTGTAGCTCTGAGATACTAAGAACATTAGACCCATTCAGACTTGGACTTGATGTCCATCCTAGCCTCTGCCAGTGAGCCCCAGAGCAGCTGTGGCTACAGTGTAGCTCATCACCATGTGAATGATGGTGCTGTAAAGCACTTTGGAGTCCTCTGCTATACAGGTGCATGGGTCTCATTTATCATCAACCCCACTGCTGTGGAAATGTAAACTTTAAATTTAAAGATGTTTAACATTAAAATAGCTGAAAATTAACTAAAAACGGATATTTAAAAGTTGGAAAAGTTATAAAATGTAAAGAAGCTGTTTGTCGCGTTCAGATTAGGAGGATTAGGACCCAATATGCAGAGCACCAGACGATGTGAGGCAGGAGTAATTGAAAAAAGGGTAGAATCCTTTATTTGGAAGTCTTTATCCAAAAAACGACGGACAGGAAGTCAAGCCAGATATCCAGAAAACAGGAACAAGTTCAGGAGTCACAAAAACAGGCAGGAGTCTCAGATTTTACACGGGGGAAGAAAACACACTGACAACAACAATGGACCAACAAGACACTGAGACAAGACAAGGTTTTTATAAACAGAGAGGAGCAATTAGGGAAACAGGCAGCAGGTGTGTGGAGTGAGGCCTGGAGGGAAAGCAGGTGAATACAATTATCTAAATGGGGAACAGAACCAGAGGAGGGCAGATAAACCTAAAACTATAAAACACAAAACTAAACCTAAAGACTGAGGACCAAAAATAAACAACTAATAACTAGACGGATAAGGAGGACTAACTAAAGATTAGGAATGGGGAATGATAGAAAGACACCTGAGGGAAGTCTACAGAGGGCTGGGGATAATAATGGGACACAAGAGGAAACCCTGGAGTGGGAACTGGAGGGGCTGGGGAACAAAGGGACACAGAACATGACACTATTATTATTGTTATTTTTACACTTAAACTGAAGCAAGATTTATAAAATGTTTTAGAAGATTTAAATGTGTGGTTGACTGAAAAAAACATTTTAAATGGTTATTTCCGATCATAATCAGACACTTTGAGTTTTTCATGCAGACTGAACATGAAAATAGTCTCCTACACCTATCTGCTGCATTAGCTTCTGACACAAAATAGACGGTGAAACTCTAGGATTAGAAAAGCCTCACAGATCTACGTCTCACTGTTACTTCACATTCATGGACTCACCCATCTTGACTCACAACAGAGAAGGCTGTTGTTTTTTTAGCGTCCAGGAAACAGCAGAGAATGTCTCGGCTAGTAGAAGCTAACAATTAGCATTAGCAACTCCACCACACAGCAGAACTCCTCCAGGCTTGTGTTATTAGTGGAGATAAAACATCAGCATTGCTCGGCAAACAGAGTTAGTGGTAGAGTTGCGTTGCTGTTAGCCAATCAGAGGCAGGATGTCCAAATATCAGGAATAAGACTCCAAATCCTGTCGTCTGAAGCTGTCCAGTTGAATTGTACTTCCTGATCAAGCACATCCGAAGCACCCCCACCCCTCCGAATATGAATTACAAGACATTCATTCCCACTAGAGACCACTGCAAATGTATTGATTAAATGAGTGAACCACACCTTTAATACCTTCTCTAAGAACACTGTTTGTTTTAAAGGCTGCTGTTATCAGTAGAAGAGAAGAATTGTGACTGTTTTCTCGTATCAGAGTGGCAGGAGACGTGCCTGAGCCTGGATTGTGTTCAGCAGAGGAAGAACCTGATCTACTCTCTCCCCACCAGTGGAGGGAAGACCCTGGTGGCTGAGATCCTCATCCTCAAGGAGCTGCTCTGTAGGAAGAAGGACTGTCTGCTTGTGTTACCGTACATATCGCTGGTGCAGGAGAAGGTACTCAGACATGTCTCACGCCAACACCTGTTCAGGAGAAAGCGTTAGTAACAGATCTATTGGCTGTCAGCGATCAGCTGAGGCCATCAGCTGCTGCTTTATCCTAGTTAGATACATTTTCCTTTATAGAAATATAAACCTGTAAATAAAAGTAGAAATCAGAACCGGAACATGCGGCTGTAACACACTGTTAACTGCTTTGTTATGACCTGTGTGCACTCTGTCTAATGTAATTCAATTTGATTATATTACTATTATTAAAATAATATTCTATAACACATTTTTACTTGTTTTACAGAATTACTTATTCAAAACTCTACATTTAAGATGTAGACACTGGTTTCATTTGCAGATGAGCAAAGACGGAAGAAAATGAAATGGCTGAATAACTGTCCAGACTAGTCTTTACATCTGAATAAAACCTCGTGGTTAACCGTTTCTAGTATCCCGTCATTTTGGATTGTTTTTAGGTTCGCGGGTTAGCGAGCTTCGGCCTGGAGCTGGACTTCATGGTGGAGGAGTACGCTGGCAGCAAGGGGAAGTTCCCTCCGGTGAAGAGAAGGAACAACCGATCTCTGTACGTTGCCACGATAGAAAAGGCCCACAGCCTCGTCAACTCCCTGATCGAGACCAGCAGACTGGAGAACCTGGGGCTGGTGGTGGTCGATGAGGTAGGAGCTCCTCTCGCTGCCACTGTCAGCTGAATGAAGGTAAAGATGGTCTGCTGGAGGCTCCTGTGTTTTCTCCTCAGCTCCACATGCTGGGTGACGGCAGCAGAGGGGCGGTGATAGAAATGACTTTATCTAAAGTGCAGTACATGAGCAGTAAGTGGTCCTTCCTGCTTGTTAGATACTAACTCTTTCAGAATGGAATGAAAACTGTTGCTTCACTTTTGTGCAGAAACAACTCAGATTATTGGGATGAGTGCCACTCTGGGAAACATCAAGGACCTGCAGACGTTCCTGAAGGCAGAAAACTACACCAACGACTTCAGGCCTGTGAGCAGAAGGACTCTTTATCAGCCAGCATGGTGTGCTTTTAGTGAAGCCCCATGCTGCTCTCACCTGCTGTAACTCCACTCATTTACAGGTGCAGCTGAGAGAATACGTTAAGCTGAGTGATTCGATCTATGAAGTCGACCCAAAGGAGGAGAACTGCTTCACATTCTCACGTGTGCTCAACTTTAAAGTAAGCTCTGGTTTTATGTTCTTGTGTCTGAGTAGAGGAAGGTCGTCAGCCCGCGTTTGCCTTTTTTAACATAATCTAGCAACCATGCCTGTGCACAGTTGGCTGATTACTGAGCAGGAAACAGAAGATTCAGCTGTGATAGCTTTCAGAATGTCTGGATATCCATTGCTAAAGATCACTTTAAAAGACGCTGGACCCTTAAAGCAACATAAGAGGAAATATAAGAATGGATATCGACTTTTGATCAGCTTTAGTACAGAGATCTGTTCAGAAAAGCCTCTTCAAATAATGATCCTAACGTTTCCAAAGAGGCATCTTAGATGAACCACCACTTTTTCCAATTGTGACTTTTGCTGGGAAAACGCTGTAGTCTGGGTTTTGTTGTGGATAACATAAATGTAGAGGGTTCTCTGTCAAAACCTCAGATTGTTATCAGCAGTGAGTCCAAAAGTTGGGTTCTGTGATGGCTTTAGGGCTGTATGAGTTAATATGTGATGGCTGTGATGATGCAGAGGTCCAGGAGGTTTTCAAGCATCTTGTGCTGCTTTTAGGACCCGATCTTCTCCAGTGCCATTTATGTAAAGCCAACCACATTCTGCTGCACACATTAGGAAGGGTTCAGGTACTGGACTGGTGTGTTTTGTAGTTCTGATCAGCCTGCATCATCGTTTCCACAACGGTATGAATTCCTGTTCGAGGTCTAATAAATAAGAGACCTGCTCTGTCTCTACTCTGTAGTATTCCAGCGCCATGCAGAAGGTGGACCCGGATCACGTCATTGCTCTGGTGACTGAAGTCATCCCAACACATTCATGTCTGGTCTTCTGTCCCACCAAGAAGAACTGTGAGAATGTAGCAGGGATGATCTGCAGATATCTGAGAGAGTGAGGGAGCCGTGAAGCTGATTTCTGCACCGCTGTACGAGCTACTTCTCATGTCTTGGTTCTTCTCCCTCAGGGAGTTCCTGAAGCATCGTGAGAACGAGAAGGCCATTCTCCTGCAGGAGCTGAGGGACAGTGGGAATGGGTCTGTGTGTCCGGTGTTGAGAAGAACGGTGCCTTATGGTGTGGCCTATCACCACAGCGGGCTGACCTCAGAGGAGAGGAAACTGGTGGAGGAAGCCTACTCTAGTGGTGTGCTCTGCCTCCTCACCTGTACCTCCACCCTGGCTGCAGGGGTCAACCTGCCAGCTCGCAGGTCAGAGAACATCTCTGTTACCCTCTTCTGCACCTAAAACTGATCCAAATCATCTTGGCAATTTTAAATATTCCAGTTACATCTAGGCCTCTTTTTTTCACCTAAACTTTCACAAACAACAACAGAGTCTTAATTTGGCTCTATTTACAAACCACCCATAATGTGAGCTTACATGTAAACTGTTTGATTCTTTAATGGTCATAAACGATCTTTAGTGGTCAGTCCTAAACTCCTAAAGACCTGAAAAAACATCACTGTTCTGGTTCTTGTCCAGTTTATTGTTCAGGTGGACACCCAGGCACTGTGGCCCATCAAACTTCCAAAAACATAAAAACAACATAAAAAAATAAACAAGAGGCCCTTGCTTCACCTGACCTGTCTGATCCTGCTCAGTTATCACTGTCCCACCTGCAGGGTGATCCTGCGCTCGCCATACGTGGCCACAGACTTCCTGAAGAGGAGCCAGTACAAGCAGATGGTGGGCAGGGCTGGCCGCGCTGGGATCGACTCCGTGGGAGAGAGCATCCTCATCCTGCAGGAGAAAGACAAGCTTATGGTAACTCCGGGATGAGAAGTGTCCATGACTGAAAATGTCAAAATACATATTCATCTCAAATGTTGTCTTTAGTTTATTAAATCATGTGATTTCTGAGCCTGAATGAAGACGGTGGGAATTAAAGTCATTTATATTTATGCACACTAATGAAAATATGGTTATTTAGTTGGTTAGAAATGGATACAAATGACTTTCTAAAACAAACATATCAACAAAAGGCCAAAAATAAATGGAATGCATGTTTTTGGTCTGTTGGAGGAAATTGGGAGTAGCTGGAGAAAACCTATGCATGGAGAACACGCTATTCCACACAGAAAGGTTGAAGCTTAGATTTGAACCTGCAACCTTTTCGCTGTGAAGCAACAGTGCCACCCCTGCACCACCACGCAGCCCTCACGTAGCATAAAATATACTAAAAACATAATAAAATCACTAGCAGCACCTTAAATCCACACATAACAGGGTGTCAAAGCCATGGGGGATGTGTTCTCTGAGGAGGTTTAAAACACCAGAGGGTCTGTCCGATGTCCAACACCAGGTCTTTAAACATTTTAGGAGCTGCTACAGCCTCCACTGAGTCCCAGGACCCCCCAGGATCAGCTGACCTGAGAGAGCATCCGGCTGTAGCAGCTCAGAGATGCAGGACAGGGCACAGGAGGGTTTAAAAGCAACTTTAAAAATAAACAGGCAATTGGTGGGGTATGGCTAAAATGGGTAATGTGCCCATGTTTATACACACTAGTCTAGAAAATGAGCTGCAGAATTTTACAGCCTATGGCGATACCACTGAAACACTGGGCCGTATACACAGTGTATTACAGTAATCCAGCTGGTTTAGGCCTGGATTACCGTTTCTAAATGCTGCCCGGAAAGGATGCGTTTTAGTTTCGCCAACAGCCTCTGGTGGAAAAGCAGGATTTAAAGCTGTTATGGTAAATTTGGAGAACAAGTTAACTTAAAACTTTTTTGTTTCCATTCCTTTTAACTAGGGCTGCAACAAATGATTATTTGGATAATCGATTAATTGGATGGGGTCTCGACACGATTAATCGATTAATCGGATTACATGGGGAAATTTTTAAAAACTGCTAGGGAAACGTTATTTCTCTCCTTCCTTCACTTTATTTAACACAACATTATTAGAAAACAGTTCAATAGCAGAAAAACAACATGCCATCACCTAAATTGTCTTATAAGGTGTATAGACAGAGACCCTAAGCTACATCTATCTGTGACCTAAAATGCTTGGTCCAAGTTAAACAGCTTAAGGGCAATTCTCATCTGTTTTGTTTGATCTCATCTGTTGACATTTATTTTAAATGTAATTAAACATTGGCTGTGAATTAATCAAAATTGATCACTATTTCCAAAAATGACTGAAAAAATACCAAATAAAACAAAAGTAAATGAATGCCATCCTCCTTGCGATGATGCCCTGGGCAACTGCCATAAAGTCACATCAAGAAATGCTGCTGATCATTCCAATGATCCCAAATAGACTCACATTAGGCCACATGAAAGCAACTGAACCCAAAAATATATTAACCAGTATATAACTGCACTCTCACACAACACGCCTGCAGCAACAGTTAGGACTCCTCCCTCCCTTTTAAAAGCGTTTTTGCTTCTGAGGACATTGTGGTTGTAAAACCACATGCTAGTAGTCTGGCCCCGGTGTGATCAACCAGTTTCTGCGGGAATGTGACGGCGGAACCAGGGCCAGATTAACACTTTGTTGTACCCTGGGCAACAATATTCAAGGGCTCCATCATCACGATCCAAGGATCACCATAATGTGGTCACATACAGAATATTTTACTGTAATATGCAGTAAATATACTCAATACTTGAATGCCTGACAACACGTAACCCGCCCAGAGTAACCTTTGACCCACCTCGTGTGGACTGACCAATGAGGAGAGGGTCTTAACTTGAGGCCCTCTCTTCATTGGTCAGTCTGCATGAGACTGACTCTCAACTGACATTCAAAGTCATAGGCAGCGAAGCGTCTCTGTGCAGCGCAAAAGCCCGGGTGGACAGTTTGTTTAATGTAGGGTGACCATATTTCCATTTCCAAACAAGAGGACAGGGGATCTGTGCCTATGACGTCACACTATGGCAACGCCACACAAACCATGTTGGGACCCATTTTTTGTAAGAACTAAATTAATATCAGATTCTGCCAATAAAAGGGCTCTAAAACAATTCATATGTAAATATTTTGCATATTTAATGCAAAATCTAATTTTTCTGCTTTAGTGCTGCAACAAGGTTTTATTAATAATAAATTATTATACCTTTTGTTTTACTACAGCATCAGTAAGCTTCCTGTGCACAGATTATTAAGGATGCTTGTTTCAGCTGTGAGATTAGACGATAGGATCAATGAAAAAATAAGTTGTCACACACTCCATGGAAACTTTCAGAGAATCCACAAATAGTGGCTTTCAAATGGTTTTGTTACTTTTTGCAAGTTTATAAAAGAAGCAGATGAGACAGCATGTCTGATAATTTAGTTTTTCATCTGATAATATTAGAACATGTCAGCGATGTCTGAGGGGCTTTTATAAACACTGTATAACTAACACTACTGGAGAGGGCATGAATTACACAGAGGCTTCTGGGGAGCCCAGTTATTGGGGGGGGGGGGGGGGGGGGGGCATTTTGCCTTGGCCCCCAAAATGTCTTGAAACGGCCCTGGGTGTGTGACTGAGTTTTGAAGGTGATCTGAATTGTATCAGATGTATAAATATAACATGTGTATAACTTATTGTTTTTTACTGGTAAAAACGTGTAGTGGAGGTAAATCTACCTACATTTTACTTTTCAACACTTTGTTTTGTTTTCTTGTTTTTATTGAACTATTTTCCTGTCCTGTCTGTCTCTCATCTTCCTGCATCTCCTCATAATTCTCCAGAAAATCTGCTGCCTGGATTCTTACCTTTTCACCTCATCAGTTACTTTTGAGCAGATCAAAGGGATCTCCTGACCGAAAAGCGCAGAGCGCGTTTTCGATGCTGCGTGAGGTGAAATCACCGCAGCACAGGTGATGAGCTCCGCAGTAGCGCGCTTCAGGCACAGATAAGACAGAAAATAGAGAACATGTGCGGACATGAACGATCGTGTGCTAATTATAGTTTTTTGGTTGCGCCACTTTGAGAATGGACCGTGCGCTGGAAGCAGCTGCCTGGATCGATGTGCAAAAATGCGGAACCGGTTCCGGCTCTCCCTCACGCTGATCTGCGGCTCTCCCTTGCGCTGATCTGCCGGCTCTCCCTTGCGCTGATCTGCCGGCTCTCCCTCGCGCTGATCTGCGGCTCTCCCTCGCGCTGATCTGCGGCTCTCCCTCGCGCTGATCTGCGGCTCTCCCTCGCGCTGATCTGCAGCTCTCCCTCGCGCTGATCTGCGGCTCTCCCTCGCGCTGATCTGCGGCTCTCCCTCGCGCTGATCTGCGGCTCTCCCTCGCGCTGATCTGCGGCTCTCCCTCGCGCTGATCTGCGGCTCTCCCTCGCGCTGATCTGCGGCTCTCCCTCACGCTGATCTGCAGCTCTCCCTCGCGCTGATCTGCGGCTCTCCCTCGCGCTGATCTGCGGCTCTCCCTCGCGCTGATCTGACTTGCTCTGGTCTGCGCGCAACGGCGGGCGGGAAGGGGGGGGGGGGGCGCTTTTGGAAGAGTTGTGCGACACAACGAATCGATGACGCAATTCGTTGCCAACGCTTTTAGTAATCGATTTTCATCGAATTTATCTATTCGTTGTTGCAGCCCTACTTTTAACAATGTTATAACATAGTATAGCTATAAATGTGTTGTGGAGATAAAAAAAAACTCTGGAAAAAAATGGTTTTCTCGCATTTGTCTAAAAGCCTCCACTAATAACACATTTCAAAAGCAACTATTGGGCCGTCTGGTTGATGGGCTCACCAACCTTCAGATTTGTAGAAAGTGAATTCAGCATCGTTCTAATAATCTCAGTGACCTTGTTGTTTGTTCTGATCAGCTAATGGTTACATTATTGATGGGTTTTTGTTTTGTTTTGAATTCTAGGCCAAAGAACTGGTTTGTGCCCCGATGGAGAACTGTTACAGCAACCTGATGCATGATGAAGGAAAAGGCATGCTGAGCCTCATCCTGTCCCTGATTGGATTAAATGTAAAATCTTTTAATTATGTGTCCTAATCTGAAAACATTCATGTTGAAAGTGAGTGATGTTATATTACTAGATCGTTTAAACTTGTTGATTAACAAGCCATAGTATTGTCAAGTTCTGTCTGACTAGGAACTCAGCACACTTAGCACAGTTTCCATCCAGACCGTTTTAGATGTGACACACTAAGCCTGATCACAGCTGACTGTTAATGAAAGACCATAAGTGATGCCAAAGAGGTTTCCCTGATGATTATCCGTGACTTTGTTCTGTCGGTTGATGGTCTACACAGCTTTTGTGTTACATCTGTTGTGACACCAGCTGATTGTTTGTCCTGGCCATGTTTCCTTCAGATCAGCACGTCGCTGCAGCAGATCCAGGAGTTCCTGAGTGGAACGCTGCTGTTCGTGCAGCAGAAGCAGCTGTGTGTGGAGAAGAGTTTGCAGGACGTCACGCTACAGTGTGTGGACATGCTGAAAGAAAAAGACCTCATTACCATCAAGGTTACGGGCTGCAATAGTCCAGAGCTGCAGATCACACGGCTGGGGAGAGCCGCTTACAAAGGTAAAGTGTTTTATCTTCTGTTCTATGGCCTTATTGTTTTAAGTGTTCTCACTGTAATGCTGTTGTACATTTTCATATGCTTTTGCATCGTGTACATCACCTCGAGCCTCCTTGGCTGACGGCAGGACGGTGCTTCACCAATAAACAGCTGAATTGAAATAAATGTTACCAGATAGACAGAATTACAGGAAATATTATTACTAGAGTATTTTGTCCACATCATCCTCTTCATGCATGTTGTCTTACTCCAAGCTGTGTAGGCTCGAAAGCCTACTACCAATTAAGCATAGTAGGTGATGTGCATCTCTGTAATGAGAAGGGGTGTGGTCTAATGACATCAACACCCTATATCAGGTGTGCATAATTATTAGGCAACTTCCTTTCCTTTGGCAAATTGGGTTAAAAGAAGGACTTGACAGGCTCAGAAAGGTCAAAAATAGTGAGATATCTTGCAGAGGGATGCAGCAGTCTTAAAATTGCAAAGCTTCTGAAGCGTGATCATCGAACAATCAAGCGTTTCATTCAAAATAGTCAACAGGGTCGCAAGAAGCGTGTGGACAAACCAAGGCGCAAAATAACTGCCCATGAACTGAGAAAAGTCAAGCGTGCAGCTGCCAAGATGCCACTTGCCACCAGTTTGGCCACATTTCAGAGCTGCAACATCACTGGAGTGCCCAAAAACACAAGGTGTGCAATACTCAGAGACACGGCCAAGGTAAGAAAGGCTGAAAGACGACCACCACTGAACAAGACACACAAGCTGAAACGTCAAGACTGGGCCAAGAAATATCTCAAGACTGATTTTTCTAAGGTTTTATGGACTGATGAAATGAGGGTGAGTCTTGATGGGCCAGATGGATGGGCGCGTGGCTGGATTGGTAAAGGGCAGAGAGCTCCAGTCCGACTCAGATGCCAGCAAGGTGGAGGTGGAGTACTGGTTTGGGCTGGTATCATGAACGATGAGCTTGTGGGACCTTTTCGGGTTGAGGATGGAGTCAAGCTCTCCCAGTCCTACTGCCAGTTTCTGGAAGACACCTTCTTCAAGCAGTGGTACAGGAAGAAGTCTGCATCCTTCAAGAAAAACATGATTTTCATGCAGGACAGTGCTCCATCACACACGTCCAAGTACTCCACAGCGTGGCTGGCAAGAAAGGGTATAAAAGAAGAGAAACTAATGACATGGCCTCCTTGTTCACCTGATCTGAACCCCATTGAGAACCTGTGGTCCATCATCAAATGTGAGATTTACAAGGAGGGAAAACAGTACACCTCTCTGAACAGTGTCTGGGAGGCTGTGGTTGCTGCTGCACGCAATGTTGATGGTGAACAGATCAAAACACTGACAGAATCCATGGATGGCAGGCTTTTGAGTGTCCTTGCAAAGAAAGGTGGCTATATTGGTCGCTTATTTGTTTTTGTATTGTTTTTGAATGTCAGAAATGTTTATTTGGGAATGTGGAGATGTTATATTGGTTTCACTGGTAAAAATAAATAATTGAAATGGGTATTTATTTGTTTTTTGTTAAGTTGCCTAATAATTATGTGCAGTAACAGTCACCTGCAGACACAGATATCCCCCTAAAATAGCTAAAACTAAAAACAAACTAAAAACTACTTCCAAAAACATTCAGCTTTGATTTTGAGTTGTATGGGTTCATTGAGAACATGGTTGTCGTTCAATTATAAAATTATTCCTCAAAAATACAACTTGCCTAATAATTCTGCACTCCCTGTAGCTGGTTTCTGTTTAACAAGCGTGCAGTCACATGGTCCACCAAGGTGTCCAAGACCTGATGTTGTTGTTCCTTACAGACCAGCAGACTATACATAAAAACCTACGTAGAGAAATGCTTTAGGGCTGCAGAATATATGTGAAAATATTGCCACAGTAGTCAGTCTCAGGAAACGTCTAACAGCATGTGTGTGCTTAAAAATGACTCGTGTATCAATCATTACATTATAACTGTTTATTTGTGAAGGCTGGGCATAGGGCTGCTCGATTATGGCAAAAATAATAATCACGATTATTGTGACTGAAATTGAGATCTCGATTATTTAAGACGATTTTTCAATTAATGTTTTTTTTTTTTTTTTCTTTTCTGTCATAAAATTGCTCAGGACAAAAATAAACAAGAAATAAGATGATCACTAAAAGAACTCCTGATTCCCAGTATAAAAAGACCAATATACTTATAGCTCATTGCTTATGACCCAAGGGCTATAGACCTTGGTTTAACTCATTTAAGTCTAACCAGTACAGACCCAAATACCAATATCTTGCAAATACTGACAGCAAGAATTATACTGTGGCATTTATAACAAATACATGCAAATAAATGGATGTTCACAAAATTTTTCATAATATGTATTTAGTCGTGTCAAGGTGCTGTAGGAGAGTGCAGCACCGTGTCCTCAGAGAGGTTAGTTATTATTTATCAGCGTGAGGAAGTTATTTCTACCTTATTTATAAACTATTTATTTACAAGTCCATCAGTTAATGTAATAATTGTCCCAACCACAGCTGCACCCCCCACCCCCCAACCCGGTTTCACAGCAATCATGGGCAAGCTGTACGTGTGTTTAGCACGTGCACATTTAGCTGTTTTTATCGGCTCAGGAGCCCGCAGGTACAGTGTGTGTCACTCACTCTGGTTAATCCAACAGGAAGCCGGCTCTGAGAGCCGTTTCTATAGCGACCGACACATCACTACATCATTCCCTTTCCTAATGTCCTGAAGAACGGTCGGGAGCGCAGGCGGAGTGTTTAGCTAACCTGCAGGAAATGTCAACGACAGTTATCCAGAAAGCAGCTACGGGTTACCAGAGATGTTTCTGAGGTGGTCGCTAGGTATTTTTACGATTTAAAAAGTCAAGAAGGGGGTCTGAAAAGCTGCTAGAAATAGCGTCAAAGTCGCTAAGTTGGCAACACTGTGGGAAGAGCGCTTCATTTGTAACTCAGGACAGTGCAAGTGGGAGGAGCAAATAATCGGCTTGTTTTGTTTTATAATCGTTCAAAACTCAGATCGTAATTGGGATTAAAATTCGATTAATTGAGCAGCCCTAGCTGGACATGTTGCTACTGCTGAGGTTTCAGATTTAAACATCCAGATTTGTTCTTAAATTCCAGACGTTCTAGATGTTTCATCATCTTCTCTAGGGTTAGGGTTAGTTAGTGGGTTAGGGTTTCGACATGCTGAAAGAAAAAGTCACATTAGAGTTAGTTTGTGTGAGTTCGATACAAGTCTGGAAGAGTCTTGTTTTAGTTTAAATACTGAAATCTTGACTCCTGTCGTCTCCAGGCTCGGTGGATTTGACCTACTGTGACACTCTGTACAAAGACTTGAGTAAAGGTCTTGAGGGGCTGCTGCTCAACAGCTACCTGCACCTGGTCTACCTGGTGACTCCCTACGACCTGATCCCGCAGTGCAACCCCGACTGGATGGTTTACTTCAGACAGGTACACGTGGTCACGTCGCTCATCTCACAGGTGTCTCCCTCTAACCAGCTGGGATTATTTTCTGCAGTTCACCCTGTTGTCCGCCGCTGAGCAAAAGATGTCTGCAGCCATCGGCGTTCCAGAGAGTTTTGTGGCGAGAAAAGCCGCAGGACAGACTGTGAAGAAGGTAACGTGCATCAGTCACAACTGCAGGTTCAACACTCTCCTCCATCTCTCCTGTTCATGTATGGTAGCGGTGGTTCATGCTAGAATCATGTTTAATGCTTCGTTCATATGACTTATCTGTTTTATTGGCAAATTAGAAAAAGAAGTTGAGCTCCTGATGTGTTCAGGATTGTAAAATTGTGCAAGTTTGCATAAATACCATAAAACAACATGACATCAATCAGCCGTTCTCTAGCATGACGTGTTTGTTGATTTTCTGTTTCAGACCGTAAACCTCGGGGTGGTGAGGCGGATGTACCTCGCTCTTGTACTCTTCAGTTTGCTGAAGGAAACCAGCGTTTGGAGCGTGGCTGAGAGATTCCAGCTGAGTCGAGGTTTCCTCCAAACCTTGCTCAACTCCGCCTCCGCGTTCTGCTCGTGTGTGCTGCACTTCACTGAGGTACCGGCACCACGAAGCCCAGAGCCTGTGTGTCTAAACAGAAGGGCTAGCTATATCCCAGTCAGTGAAGATTTTATTTTATTTTTTTTACTTATTCTTTATTTAACCAGGAAGGTCCCATTGAAATTAAAAACCTCATTTTCAAGGGAGTCCTGGTCAAGAGGCAGCAAAAGTTACAGTTACTAATTTTTCAGTTACACAGACATGTTATGTACAAAATTACAGAAGACAGTTACAACACAGGGAATTTGTCTCAAGGCCTCTCAGTCTGGTTTTAAATGTAGATAAACTCAGTTAATTTCCAGGTTTCCTGCAGCCTGTTTCATGCCGAAGGAGCAGAGTGAATAAAAGCCCTTTTGCCCAGTTCGGTGCGAGCAAATGGAACACAAAGTAACAACTGATCATTTGCTGTGAGAAGTTACACTTCTCCTTGAGATTAAGTTACAGATGTAGGTGGGTAGTAATCCAAACATGGCCTTACAAATGAAAGTGTACCAATGTCCCAACCTCCTGGTGGACAAAGAAGGCTATCCCACGGGAGAATACACTTCACAATGATGGGTCAGTGGTCTACAGTTAGTAATAAACCTCAGCGAGGCACGATGAACCACATCAATTTTACCAAGACACTGTGCTGAAGCATTCACATACAGTAATAGACAAGAATAGACAGAAATATTGCAGTAACTAGTTGGTTATTTGCCTAAAAAAAACAGTCTATTTAAAAAAAGAAACCCAGTCTGAGTTGTTTCTTCACAAGATTATCTATATGGGGCTTAAAGGAGAGGGAGTCATCGAGCCAGACACCAAGGTCGTTGTATGTGTGGACCACCTCTATGATATTTCCCTCAACAGTGGTCACTGAGGGCATACTTAGGTCTTTTTTAGAGTTTGAAAACAACATTAGCTTAGTCTTGTCAGCACTGAAGACCAATTGTAACTGCAGAAGTGTTTTTTGGACCTAATTAAAAGTTCTATGTAACAATTCAACAGCTTTAGTGGGGGATGTTCCAAAACAGTAAATGATTGTGTCATCATCATAAAAGTGCATATTAGCATCCGGCACATTTTGTCCTATTTCATTAAAATACATAATGAACAAGTGGGGTCCCAAGACTGAACCCAGTGGTACTCCCTTGTGGACACTCAAAAATTCAGAGGACAATGCATCACATTTAACGCATTGAGTTATGTCCTTCAAGTAGTCTGTGAAACAAAGAAGCTTTTGTTTTAAAACCACCTGGTCTACAGTGTTGAGGGCTTTTGACAGATCAATAAAAAGTGAGGCACAGTGCTGCTTTTTACTCAGAGCAACAAGTGTTGCTCTGAGTAAAACAAGTGTTGCATTAATCACCTTTTGCAGTGATGGTGCTGTGCATTTTTCTGAAACCTGATTGCAGACTTGAGAGAAGGTCGTTTGAATATTAAGTCTTTTAATTGTTCACTTACTCGGGTCTCTAGAAGTTTTGCCAGGACACACAGATTAGATATTGGTCTGTAATTTGTTAATACAGCTGGGTCACCACCTTTTAGTAAAGGAGACACAAAAGCAGACTTCTAAACTGATAGTATTTGTCTGTTTTTGATAGAAAGGTTTAAAAGAACTGTAAGAGGCTCTGCAATGAAATCAGCAGCCATTTTCAAAAAGTAGGGCTCTATCATGTCTGGACCAGATGTTTTCTGGGATCCAGAGTTCTAGTACTTTAACAAAGTTAAAAGAGGCATCGGGTAATTTGGGAATCTGTACAGGAGGACACGGGGTGTGTTCCAGTAGAAGTCGACACTGAACCAGATGAGATAAAATGCTTGTTAAAACAGTTTAAAACCTCAGTTTGATCATAAACTGGGATAGAGTCGTTTAGGACAAATGTTGAAAGAGCATGAGAAGTTAAGTTGACAGATAAAGACTTGATCACTTTCCAAAATTTCTGTGGATTATTTAGTTTCTCAGTTGTGGCAGATTTATTTCTTGGTTGCCTAAAGATAGCCCAGTCAGAGGGGAGATTCCCTTTTCTGGCTTTGACCCATGCCACATTACGCTGATGAATATTTGACAGTTCGGGGGAGAACCAGGGATTTTGATTCTGAGTTTCCTGAAGGGGGCATGCTTATTGACAATTTCCATGAAAGTCTCCTTGAAGAATGTCCATGCTAGCTCGACATCTGGTAACAAATCTATTTGCCTCCAGTTAACTAAAGACAAATCCTTATGATAAGCTTGTTCACTGAATTGTTTAAATGATGCAGGATTTAGAATTAGGCATTTTAGTGCTCCTGCAAGTGGCAACAACACAATGATCACTCAAGTCATTGCAGAAAACGCCCAACGATGAGAATTTATGAGGAACATTTGTTAAAATTGAGTCAACCAAGGTGGGTTTATCAGGACTCTTAAGATTGGGTCTTGTGGGTTGGTTGACCAACTGGCTAAGATTTATGGAGTCACAGAAGCTTTTGAATTAATCTGAAACTGCATTTTGCCAGTTCCAGTTGAAATCTCCAGCCAATACAAGTTCACTATAATTTAATTTGGACAACAGATGCTTTAAGGACGATAATGCCTCCTTGGAAGCTGATGGAGGTCTGTAGCTCCCAGCAACAGTTATAGAAAGTGATTTGGCAATTTCCACATTTAAAGCCAAAAACTCCATTTGTTTACAGATTGACTCAGACAAGACTACTGATGCATTCAATCTTGATCTGATATAAATAGCTACATCCCCATCTTTGTTCGACCAGTCTATGGATAAACATTGTATCTGGCTATGTTGATATCCCCACTAGTTATGGGTTTAGTCAGCCAAGTTTCAGAAATGATTACAATGTCTGCAGCTGTTGATTTAATCCAGATTCTGACAACGCCTATCTTTGGTAATAAGCTACGCACGTTCAGATGAATAATTTTGAGACCAGACAAATGTTGGAAATCAGCAGGAGTCTGTATGCATTGCAGCTCAGGTCCAGGGTTTGGTTGCACATTTCCAGATAACAGTAAAAGTAAGATAATCATCAATCTGTGTTTCACTTGACATTTTGGCAGTAAGATTGTATAATACAAGAAAAGGTTTGAGGTTGGATACTTCTCCAAGCAGGTTTGACCATAAGTTAAAGATTTGAGTAAAGTCAGTTGGTGTAGTTTCAGTATGTCCAGGTAAGTGAGAATTAGTGCCGCAATAGTAAGTATTCCTCATTCTGAGCATGTTAATATGCTAAAAAGATGATATCCACTTAGTTTATTACATTTATTATTGGTGCTTTTAAAAGTGGGGTCTCACTGGTGGTGGTTGCTATGAAGAGGAAGGTTTGGGTTGCTCTTTTAGTATAGCCTAATGGCCTCTGATCACATAAACACGTCTGTTATGATCTAGTCTCTGATCTGTGAGGCTGATCCCAGGTCTGTTAAACTTCATGTGTTTGTGTTCAGGAGCTGGAGGAGTTCTGGCCATTCAAAGCTCTGCTGACGGAGCTAACCCGACGACTGACTTACTGCGTAAAGGCCGAGCTGATTCCTCTGATGGAGGTGTCGGGGGTCATGGAGGTCAGCCACACCCGTCATGTCTGGATGTTTATGCTGTGTGGCCAAAAGTTTTGAGGACACAATTTTTGGTTTTCACAGAGTTAGCTGCTTCAGTGTTTTTCATCTTTTAGTCAGTTGTTTCTGTCATGTATTGAAGTATAATCACTAAAACTTTGAAAGGCTTTGATTACATCTAGTTTAAGAGTTCAAGAGTCGGTGTTTGCAGTGTTGGCTCTTCCTCTGTAGTTGGCCCTGACACGCTTTCAATCAGCTTCTGGACCAGATCCTTTCCTTCCATAATCAGGGCCTGGAGTTTGTCACAGTTAGTGTGTTTTTGTTTGTCCACCTGCCTCTGGAGGGTTGATCACAAGTTCTCAACTGGATTAAGGTCTGAGGATTTTCCTGGTCATGGACCCAAAATTTCTGTTTTTAGCTTCATCGCTTTAGTCTTATGGCACAGTGCTCCATCACGCTTCACCAGGTTGTTTTTGGATGGTTGAATCAATTTCCCTCTGGGATTAATAAAGTATTTTTGAATTGAATTGAATTGAAGAAGTTCCAGTTGGATGTTTTGGTACATTTCTTTATTGATGACTGATGGGAGTGCTCACCTTATCTTCTGCAGACCATCCTTTCTCCAGATGCCTTAAACAACCTGAAAAGAGCTTCATGTTACCCCAGTCCTCTGCAGCCCACTCACTGTTGTTTCTGTAGTGGCTTCTTTCTGCCCTTCTTGACACCAGGACATCCTCCAGCAGTCTCCTCTCTGTGCTGCAGATGCACTCCCACCTGCTGCTGCTGTTCCTGAGCAGCTCTGCACTGGTGGCACCTCGATCCTGCAGCTGAATCCTCTTTAGGAGACGTCTCGGCTCTTGCTGGACTTTCTTGGAGCCCAGAAGCTTTCCTCACAACAACTAAACCTCTTCCCTTGAAGTTGTTGATGATCCCATAAATGGTTGATTTAGGTGAAATATTAGCAGCAACAACATCTTGCCTGAAGACCCTTTAAATGCAACACTGTCATCGCTGCACATGTTTCCTTGCAGGTCACCATGGTTACGAGGAAGAGCATTGATCTGAAGCTTCACCCTCCTTTTAATGCAGCCAGCCTGTATTTCTAACTCAGTCAGCCTGACATAGTGACCTCCAGCCTTGTGCTCATCCACATCCTCACCTGTGTTTACATGAAGGTGTTTGAAATGATCTCAGCAGCTCCTTTTGTGGCAGCCATGAAAAGATGTGGAAATGGTTGATTTTTGGGGTGAAGTTCATTTTCATTGCAAAGAAGGACTCTGTAAGTCATCTTGATACAATTCTGGAGTTTATGCAAACTGCCATCATAAAAACTGAAGCAGCAAACTTATACTTGACCCCTGCACTTTTTACCATCCAAAAACAACATTACGCTATATTAAATTGACACTGGTTGAGCTCTAGGACCAAGCAGAAAACAACCATTTGTGTTGAAGCCTGTTTCCCATTAGAGCATACTCTAAAAATACCCCCCCAAAGTGAAAATTACATCCATGCTTTAACCAATATTAGTGTCTTTCTCATACATTTGGCCGTGGCTATAACTATCACTGTTAAATTCTTGGTTTTCCCTCTAGTCAAGAGCAAAGCAGCTGTACAACGCTGGCTACAAGACGCTGACTCACCTGGCTAACGCTGACCCTGCTGTCCTCTGCAGGACCATAGAAAACCTCTTCAAGAAGCAGGCCAACTTGATGGTGGCCTCGGCCAAAGTGAGTGTCATCAGAGGTCCTAGTTCTGTTTGCAGCTGCTGGGAGCAGATGGTTTCAGCTGAACACAGAAAATCCCAACAGGCCTCACAGGTTTTACTCGGTAGGAACACAGTTTGAGTCCAGTTCACTGTGATTTCGGATCTTCTCAGACGTAGTCAGGATGTGGGCTGACAGGAAGCTGGATGGGACCCAGTCCTCAGAGTCCAGCTGTAGGTTTCTGTACACCAGATGTTTGCCGCTGCTCTGTAAAGCTGTGGTTACTACCCGTGGAGCTAAGCTGTCTGACAGGTGATGTTTCTGTGTTTCAGATGCTGCTGAATGAGAAAGCAGCTGTTCTGCAGGAGGAGGTGGATGAGCTGCTGATGCTGCCTGCAGACCTGCCACAGATTTAAACCCAAAACTTTATTTTTGTATTTTCTGTTGGTTCTAGCAGATGTTTTTATTTTAATTTGGTTATTTTATTAAAATAAATTACATTAAGAACTTGGTGTGTTGTAGTTTTCTGCTGGTAACTGACAAACACCTTCATAGTGACTTAGATCTACAGGACCTGTCTGCTGTTTTTCAACTTATTTAATCCTAAAATCTGCTGATTCCACCTGAGCCTTTCGTTTTAAAACAGCAGGAAATGCTTGTGCTTTACAACTAATATAACCCAGCGTCCAGTCACCTGGGCATGTCCTGACCCTCATTTGACTGAAATGATTTGAATTTTTTAAAACATCAGTGAATGGCGAGTCTTTGTAGAACAAAGCTGGGCAGATGTCAGCTTCTCTTTATGACAGATGTGAAGGAAAGTCAACAATTTTCATAAGTTTGTTGATATGATTTTTTTCTCCCATTATTGAAGTTGATTTCATAATGAGCCACCAGCCATTAGAACCACATGAGTGAGAAGTTACTGTTGGAGTTAGATTCAAAATAGACTGCAGAAAATAAAAGAAGAAAACCTTGTCTTAACCAAACAGTGGACTTCTCTGGACATTTCTTTCACACTGGAAACATGGCTGACATACAAACACATCAATATTCAAAATTCATCAAGCGCAAAAGCCAGCAATGCCGCCACCTAGTGGGGGCCGAGGGTGTTGTTTCTACTCAGGAAGTCCATCTGCCAGGACCTCAGAGAAGATCCCTCCTACGTGTCGTCTGAAATCTGGTTTTACTATGTTCATCAGGGGTGGCCTGGGACCAATATTCGGCCCTGGCATTTTTATGAGTCGTCGGCCCTCCCCTTTGGGGGGGGGGGGGGGGGGTTGCCGCCCACGGACTCGTCTCTAGGCCGAAATTGTTCATTTACTGAACAAGAGAAGCTTTGTTTTGTTTTCCAATTAAATTAATCTTTTTCATTTCGGATTGAATGAAAACACGGACCTTGATTTTTTAACAATATTTGGGCCTAACACCTGAGTGTTTGTAGAGGTAATTATTTTGACTTGTATAGTAATATTCTTGCTCCACTGATGCCACCACAGCTATTCTCTCTGCGTTCTGATGCAGATGATGTTTGCTTCAGGCCTCAGATGCATTTTAGAGCTTCTGCTTCATACAGCAAATCACTGTTTCAGAGGATTAAGTGTTAGTTTTGGTTCATTAGTCATTTTCCACTTAGCATGTGTATATTGTCCAGCTGGAAATGGAAGACTCCCAGAACAGCTTCAGGGAGTCAAGTTTTGTGATGCAACAAAAAATCTGCCCCAGTTTAGATGAAAAGTTGGACAATTATCTAGGATCTTGTTTCATGTTACTGAGAAATATTTTGAGTCCCTTTTGTTGTTGAAAGTGTCATGGTCTGCATCTCCCCTCATGTGTCTCCTTTGGGCCATTCTCATCTGTACCGGGTCGGCCCGGGCCGGGTAGCGTAGGTTGTTTACATATCTGGGTGGCCTGGTATTTTTCCGGGCCAACCAATGCCCCATTCCCACCTGTACCGGGTCGGCCCGGGCCGGGTAGCCCCAGTCGGCCCCAGCCTGGCCCGGTTGATTCCACACATCCTTGCCTTAAGCCCATGTGGGCTGATTCTACCCACCAATCAGAGGCTTGCTCTAATGGAAGGTGTGAATGGGCTGATTCTACCCACCAATCAGAGGCTTGCTCTAATGGAAGGTGTGAATTTGCTGTCAGCAGTGGGCGTGTTGGCCCTGGTCGGCCTGAAGCAGTACCCCTCGGGAAGAGGGCCGAGAATGAGCCTTGGTTGGCCCGGGAAAATTCCAGGCCACCCAGATATGTAAACAACCTATGCTACCCGGCCCGGGCCGACCCGGTACAGGTGGGAATGGGGCTCAAGTCTCATTCTCAGCCCTCTTCTCGAGGGGGTCTGCTTCAGGCCGACCAGGGCCAACACACCCACTGCTGACAGCAAATTCACACCTTCCATTAGAGCAAGCCTCTGATTGGTGGTTAGAATCAGCCCACATGGGCTTAAGACAAGAATGTGTGGAATCAACCGGGCCAGGCTGGGGCCGACTGGGGCTACCCGGCCCGGGCCGACCCGGTACAGATGGGAATGGCCCATTTGTGTTCTTCATGTGTCTCCTGTTTGCAGCCCTCCAGAGCATTCCTCCCAGGTCCTGTGTCCTTGTAGCTCCAGCCTTTTTGTCCCCAGCTCCCTCCTGGTTTTCTTCATGTATCTTAGTCTCCACACCTTAGTTTCTGTGTGTGTGTGTGTGTGTGTGTGTGTGTGTGTGTGTGTGTGTGTGTGTGTGTGTGTGTGTGTGTGTGTGTGTGTGTGTGTGTGTGTGTGTGTGTGTGTGTGTGTGTGTGTGTGTGTCCTTCCCCAGCTCGGTGTATGTGTGTGTGTGTGTGTCCTTCCCCAGTCAGGTCTGTTGTCCTCCCCTGCTCCTTTCTGCTACTCCTCTCAGTTATCGTTTTCACCTGTGCCAGTTCTCCACACACCTGCTCCTCGTCTCATCACTCCAGCCCCAGTGTATAAAACCCTGTCCTTGTCTCAATAGTATTGTGTCGGTCCATTGTGCTTCTGTCATTCTCTTCTCGTGTAATCTCTAGTGTTTCAAGTGCTTCCAGTGTCTCTTAGTCTCTAGTGTTTTTGGATCTCCAGCTCAGCTTTTTTTTTGTGTGGATATTTTGGTTCTTTGGCTCCAGCCCTTTTGGATTTATTTTTGTTTTCATTCATCCTAAATAAAAGGATTTTACGTTATCTCCACTTCTGCCTCGTGTCGTCCTGCATTTTGGGTCCTAACCTCCTCCTTGCTCGTATCGTGACAGGAAGGATGACATCTGAATAGTGGGGTTCTGTCAGTCTCACATCATTCAGTATTTAATTGACTCATTTATTTTTTTAGTTTACATTTATTCTGAATACACTTGAAACCCAAGGAGATCTATTTCTCCAACATCATCACTTCTCTGACGTGGCTGCATCTTCCGCTAGCCGTTAGCTGTCTCATTTCTGGGACAGGAAACCTTTTCCTGCTCACTTTATTTTCCACAGTCCAAGTCAAATCTTCCAAATGAAGCAGCATTTGATGGCTAAATGTGCGGGGGGGGGGGGGGGGGGGGGACCCAGGAGAGCAAAGGTAAAGGAGACATTCTGATGTAGCTCATCTAAAATGATCTTATCCAGGGCCCAGGCAAGGCTGGCCTGCTGTGGTCCACCCCTGAAACCAGGATGGAGATTTGGTGCAGGTGATTGAAGTAGTTCTCCTTTTCCAGCGTTTTTTCTTTGCTAGGTCCTGTCGTAGTTGCATCTAGGGGGGCCTTCACTCGAGGTGGGTGTGTCTAAATGAATGAGAATGATTTCAGGCATAGAGTAATACATTTAGTTAATAGGATTAATGATCAAGAAATGATGAAACATTGAATTTCTATGACACTGATTTAGTAGTAACTCCAGCTAGGATCTAACTGAAGTAACTAACTCATATTTAACCAGTGGCCTGCTTAGTTACAGCTACTATTACAAATGGTTCCCTTCCTGATCTTTTGAAAATCAAAGTAAACAATTGCATGATCCATCCAGAACCATCTATTCCTCAGTAGGGCCATAATCTCCAGCAGTCCCCAGTCAAGAGGCAGGGGACATCCTGGACAAATTCCCAGTCCATCACAAGGACACACAGACCACTTGTCACACATTTGCACCTAGAGATGGGTTGGGGTTCTCCAACCTGATCACAGCTGGGGTTACGTCAATCTGAGTTTCCACCTCAGGGTTTGTTTTGGCTCCACCCAGCCGCAAGTTGGAACCCCCCACTCACAAAAAATATGTGTCCTTGTTTCAAACTCTCCTCCAATGTACCGTGCAAGCACTGAAAGGGAACTACAGCAACTGTGAAAGGAGTAATCTCTCCTAGGGCACCATACTGGGATGCTTTCTTACTGTAATCTCTGTAATCTATTATGTTTTCATAGAGAGCAAGTCCAGTTGTACCAGAATTCTGCAACCTTCATTTTTGTTGATTGACAGGAGATCAAAAGCAACTCGTGTGTGTGGTTAGTAGCTGCTAATTTCTGCTTATAATGTTGTGTAATAAAGCTTTCAGTGTTATCCATTAACCTGACAGCCACACAAGCTTGAATTTAAACAAGCTGGTGAGCTTCCTAACCTCTGTAGTCAACATTCAACTCTACAAAGGATCCGCAAAGTTACAAAAGTCTAATAATCCCAAAGGAGAACATAGGAGGACACTTTATGGATGTTGCGCTTTTAGCTCCATGTGCTTGTCCTGCAGCTGTTCTCCTGCAGCACAGCTGTCTATGACTTCACTCTGCAGCCATTTCATCCACACAGAGCAACAGTTATCATCCAAAGTGCTGGTCAGAGTGATAAAGTGGTGAGCTACAGAAGCACAAACCCCCAGAAACACAATTTGTAGTTACATCTACAATATAGCTATCTGAACCCTGGCTGATTCTGTAAGTATATTATTATTAGGGTTCCTAGCCCAAAGGGCTTTAGGTTTATTGAGAGACATCACAATAACCAAAAATTTAACAAAATAATTTTTAAATGTTATAAATTAATCTGTAGTTTCATGAATGAAAAAAGTACCTGGTCCCTTTGCACAACATGCTTTAGTACTTTGTGGTAAAACCTTTGTTGGTAATCAAAGAGGTCAGATGCGTCTGTAGTTGGCCACACCTCAGGGAGTTTATTCCAGGTCCTCTCCAATATTTTTAAGATGGAGGTCATCTTCCCCAGCATCTTCCTTTCACACGTCTCCTCAACTGTATCCAGTGGGCAGCTCAGAACCAAACTAGCCTTGTTAACTAGCTTGTTCAGTCTCTTCTTGTCTCGGTCAGAGCTGCCTGCACCCCAACAGACCACAGCAGAGTGGATAACAGAGCCAATAACAGAATGATAAAAGGATTTTAACATCTGGGAATTAACTCCAAAGGACCTCAGCCTCCTCATAAAGTGGAGGTGGCTTTGGCCCTTCTTATACAGAGCATCTGTGTTGTTGGATATATATATATATATATATATATATACACCTTGTGAATCATGTGGAGAACTACCGACC